CCCAGGAGCTAGAGCTAACAACGCCAACCCTAGCGAGACTGCTGGCAATCCGAACTAGCACGGAGACTTTGCATGGTACCACCCGGAAGTTCCACCATGACAACGCGACTCTGAAGTGCTCCTGCGGGCGCCCAAAGACCCCCTTGCACATCGCACTATGCCGGAAAACCACAACAGCGAACGTCTTCCAGCGCTGGCCAAGACGGCCACCAGCACCGCCTAGGACACCTAGCGAAGCAATCAAGTACCTCCAGACGCTCTGGGAAGAGCCAGAGGACTTTGCCGCCTTCCTAGAAATCACAGGTTTCTATAACACAATATATAGGCCTCACTAGAGCCTACACTTGTAAGACTTTTCCTGTCTTCCTATTTTCTTTCTTTCTCTTCTCTCTTTCTCTTCTCTCTCTTCTCTCTCCTTCTCTTCTCTTTCCTATGTCCTCTATACTACACACTCCTTAGTAAGCATCAGCTACGACAACTAAAGGCGGATACACACCTACTGCACAATCATTTCAGTGGCGATCAACAGGCGGAACGACCACTACTAGACCACTACAATCATGTAAATAAGAATAGGCATCCTAGGCATAGTACGGCAAGCCATAGGCATAGCCCGTCTACATGCCCCAAGGGAGGCTTTATATATAGACGTTAAATACAACTCACTCACTCACTCCGCGTGGTCGGCAAGGTTGTTAGAACGCGTGGGATCGGGCGTGTGTTCTAAGCGACATTTGACTGTAGTAGCGTGCTGAAATGTCTGCTAGCCGCAGATAACTATTATTTCCGGTCGTGCAGGCAACCGCCTCCTGCTCCGACAGTCGTGCTCGCCTCCGTCATACAGCCATGCGCGAGGCCACAACAACCTCTGTAATTAGATGTACTGCATCTACTGGCACCTCGCTTATATATGCGCTTCTCTGAGATGAGTTGTATAACGCGAATAATGTTACTACCGCAGCGAAAATAATCTGAGACAAGGTAGCGCAGGACGTTGGACGCTTAACGCAGCCACCAGCACCCCCAGCCTGATTGTATACACTACCTCGCCAGGTTGCCTTCTCTACTCTGTCGCAACTATGTTATTACAATCTTACTTCTATAAAAGACGCCCGTGACTCTAGCTACCTAGTGTCAAATCCCAGGCTACGAGCGCCATACGTCTTCTCTATTTTAACGCGCCTCTCTATTCTGACACGCTGAGTAAACTGATCTTAATAGACTTTCGCGGCAAGCCAATCCTGAGTTACGCTATCCTGTCGCACTAATGGAGCGGCTCCGAGGTTCTTATTAAAGACGCATTGAATAGAAACTATAAAGAAAGAGAAGAAGGCTATCGAAAGCTGCGGTTCTGTGCCGAATAGGCGGTTAAGGACGGGCTAGAGTACTTCTGGATTGACAATTACTGTATTAACAAATGAGACAAGGACGAGCTCTCGTCTTCGATCAACTCAATGTTCTAGTGGTATTAGAACGCGGCCCGATGCTACGTCTTCTTATTAGACGTGTCGCTGTTAGCTGTGATGGAGACGGCCGCTTGCAGCGACTAGGAGGCGTCGTTCCGAAAGAGCAAACGGTTTACTTGAGGATGGATTCTCTAAGAGCTGATTGCGCTAGTGACGGTCGAATTCTTCTCGGACGAAGGGCGGCGTATAGGCGATAAAGCGTCACTTGGTCTAGTACTACATGATATCACTGGTATCCCGCTTAAGGTACTGTGCAATTGTTCTTTAGAGCAGTTTAGCATATCTGAACGGATGTGGTGGTTTAGAGACCGTACAACAACCGAAGAAGAGGACGCCGTGTACTGTCTACTTAGACTTCTTAGTGTTTCTATACCTGCGACGTATAGAGAAGGAAAGAAGAGCGCACGAAGGAGACTATAGACTGAGCTAGAGGCGGCCGGTAACGCGCCTTCGATTATTCTATTCACACAAAACGAGTCTTTTGTAGGTCGCGAAGCACAGCTTACTGAGCTTGAAGTAAAGCTCTTTAGTAATAATCAGACGGCTACCACGCTAGCAATATTCGGGCTAGGTGGGATAGGCAGATTACAGCTTGCGCTTAAGGTAGTATATAGAGCAAGGCTGAACAATAAGAACTGTTTGGTTTTCTGGATCGACGTAAGCGATATGGGTAGCCTCTATCGATCGTATGTAAGTAGTGCGTAGAAGCTCCGTGTTTTTAGCTGCGACGATAACTAAGTAGATGTAAAGCAGATCGTTAAAAGCTGTGTTGCGGAGGTAAGTATGCGACACTGCTTACTAGTTCTCGACAACGTAGAGAGTACCACCTTACGGGCTAGTAGCTCGTCCACGGCCTGAGCTACAGACCTGGCCGAATTTCTGCTATATTCTAAGCTGTGCTCTGCCATCTTTATAACAGCAGAGGGTAATATAGCTAAAATTCTTGCTCTATAGAACGTTACTGCGCTGTTTGAGCTAGAGCTAGACACGGCGCTAAGGATGCTGCAAAACTGCTTAACGATGCCGCTTTCAGACGCTGAATAGCAAAACGCTATGCACTTACTAATAGAGCTATTGTTTCTGCCTTTAGTAGTTGTGTAAGCGGTAGCGTGCGTGAACGCTAGTAGGATGATAGTGTAGTAGTATTAAGCACAACTAGACTAGCACAAAGAAGCAGCCCTTAAGTACAGCGATGGCTCATCTGAAGGCGAGCAGCAGGGATCTGGACTAAGAAACACTATAGCTGCTACATTGTCTCTCTCTATAAGCTAAGTCTACTATAGCTATGCGGTTGCTGTAGACTATCTCTTTCTAGCTGCATGCGTTGATTAAAAGGACATCCTACTGAATTTCCTAGAAGTAATATCGCCGCGAAACCGCTAAGACGCCGTCGAGGTACTTGAAAAATATGCGCTTATTACTAGGCGACCTACTAAGTCAGCATTTGATGTCTATCGACTTATCTACTATGCATTACAGAAGAGGCTGTAGGCAGATGGGAGACTCTAAAAATGGACTTAACGTACGATTATATAGCTACTCTGGGTGTTTCCGAATAATGATTACAACAATAGAAGTAAGTGGAGGCGACTGCTTCCGCACGTACGGTATGTTCTGTTAAATTCCTAGAGAAACGACGATAAAGGGAGATTAGATCTTGCACGGAAGTGTGCCATGGCTCTGTATAGTAATGGTCAATACAAGGCAGCTGAAAAGCTGGACGTGGAAGTGATGAAGGCGAGGAAGAGAGTGCTTGGCGACGAGCATCCTAACACGCTTTTTAGCATGAACAACCTAGCGTCAACGTACTCGAGCCAAGGGCTATGGGGCAAGGCCAAAGAGCTGCAAGTGCAAGTGATGGAAGCGAGGAAGAGAGTACTTAGCGATGAGCATCCTTACACGCTGATTAGCATGAATAATCTCGCCTTCACGCTTCAGTCGCAAGCTCGCCACGAGGAGGCTCTTGCACTAATGGTAAGCAGAATCTGGGTGCTCGGGGTGACACCTAAATTTACGCTAACAAATAGGTACACTCTACCCAGAGTTAGAGTAGAGGTTAGGTTAGGTCGCATAGACCAAAGGTAGAGGTAGCTAACTAGTTAACGTGTTTCATCAGTAACTAAGACACTAATTACCAAGCATCGTGCATATTACGTGATGCGCTAATTCTAAACGAGTGTTGTTGTTTCTTGCTGTAGTTTCGCCTTTACATATTTTACTGCTTTAACCATTATAGCAGCGGAATGTCATCCTCTTCCTAAAGTGGGGTCGTAACAAGGATATCAGAATCTACAGTACGACTATGTCTCTTAGTCTCGTTTTATCTCTCAAGCTACAGGTTAGTCTAGTACAGGTCCGGATTAGGTGCGGTACTAATCCAGGTAGGGTCTGGACTAGTCTCCCGTTCTTGGTATTGGACCATGGTTCCGACTCGACTCAGTATGCTTAGACGACTAGTTGCGGTAAAGGGCTGTTCCGTTACAATATCAATATCTAAAATATCTAAGTAGTTGGAAAATGTAAAAATAGAGACTCAACTTCTTAGCAACCCAACCCAACCCAACCCTACCCATTTGCCAGCCTAATCTAACTTATAGAACGTATAAGCGCTACTATACGTCGTCTCAAATTAGAAAAAACACCGTATAAAGAAGAAGTTGTCATTTAATAGCTTAGTGTAATAAGGCGTATAATAAAGTTATTAAACTTATATGCAAAGTTATATAATAAGGCGAGAAAACAAGAGGGGAAGGTGATAGATCTAGAAAAGAGGCTGTCTAAAATAGAAGATAGAGAGAGGATAGCACTAGAGATACTAGGCGAGAAGATGGAGAAGGTAGAAGAGCTTGAGGGCGATGTTAGGGAGTTGAAGAGGATGTATCGTGAATTGGCCGACACGCTGAAGTAGCACCACCTCTACAGAAAGAAAGGCAGACCCGGCAATAGCATTTAACGGAAACGACTGTGGCAGTTCATAGTGCTTGTAGTTGTCTCGCCACCACCACCTTTTACATACATTCTTAGAAACCTGTTTTGTTAGGTTTATTAACTCTGTATGAAACATTTGCAGATGGGCATGAAGATGTACAGATAGATCATATCTAAGCAGTTAGTAGACTACATTACATTAATAAAAATAACAGCTATCATATAATTGGGGGTATCTCTACAAAATTTCTATGTCGGCAAGTTCCTACACGTGTTGGTGAACTTGATATACGACTTCTGGTTCACCAGTGGCGCCCACAGCGTCAGGTACCACTTCGCATCCCACCAGTACTTCCAAACACCAGGCACACTTTTCCTCTGACTATAAAGCAGCTCAACATACGCATTACCGTTCCTGGCAATCAAATTGAGCTCCTTCCGATTAAACGTCGCCCACTTGGTGGCCAGATTGGCGGGCGTGGGATTCGCGCCTCCATACGCAGCATCGAAGCGAACCAGGATATCGCGAATACCGTTATAACTATCGCACCACGAGCCCCATATATCGGGATGATTCCAATACGAGAAGATGTACCCGAACTCGCGCAAGAAAGTAAGTTGTTCATCGCCCGCCAGTAGCGTCGCGAAGTCGCCGATGCCAGGTGTCTTTGCGCCTGCTAGGACACCTTTTAGTCGATTCGAGTTTGAAAGAAAGGCAGAGAGGCGGTTTCTGCGGTCCCAGGCGGCGCCGCCGCGGCCGCCGGAGCCGCCGAGTTCTCTGCTCATCATGGAGATGACGGTGCCGAAGGCGCCGGGGAAGGCGTTGTTGTCGTTTACGATGTTTGTGTCTATCCAGGCGCAATCAAGGGCGTCGTTTGTGTCGGCGTCTATGCCGCCGAAGAAGCGGGAGATGGTTTGTGCTTCGAAGGGGTGTTCGGCTGTTGGAGGTGGGAAAAGGGTTAGTGTGTGTTCATGTATATAGTGTAGATGTCTAGTAGTAGCAGGGATTCAAAACTTACTTTGGTAGAAGTTCGGTACCCATTTGTTGGTCGTTTGGTCCCACTGTTCACCCGCTGTGGGCAGTTTACCAACAGCCCAGCTAGTGCAGCTGGCCGAGGTGTTGCGGTAATATTTCATGACTGGCGCCGAGTACGGGTGTATGTCGAATCGTACTTTGGAATCTGGGTATTCGAGAAAATCGGGGTACGCTGGGTATCCGAACTTGGCTTTGACCGAGCCACAGAATCGGATGGGTTTGTAGCTGGTTCCTGGTTTCGTGGCGTCTGCTCGTGGACCCAGTCCTCTCTCTTCGAGGTCGGCGTCTTCCAGGTCGGCTGTGACACTGATCTTGATGATAGCGTCTAATGCGGATACATCGCGCTTCCAAGGACCAATATCGAAGAAACCTGGTTTCTCCAGTTCGCCGTCGGGACGGTAGTCGGGGTAGAAGCCGTATTTGCAGGGAAGACATGTGCAACCACAGCAGGGTGTTTTGATGGAAGACTCAACTGTGCAGCCACTGCAGCCATCGCAGGCCAGAATTGGGTTCAAGCTGTTCCAGCCTTTATCCAGCAAATTAGCTCCAGGGAGAGGAATCGCACCAAAATCAAAGCCTTCATCTGGCAGCTCTTGTCGCGCGACAAGACTGGTGTCGTTCTTATCATCTGTCTGGACAAAGTCTTTTGGAGATGAAGAGAACATTGTACGCTTCGTCTTTTTCGTACCATCTTTGTTGAAGCACTCCTTGTTGCCAGAGGCGCTGTACTCTTGCACGTAGACTTTGGTGGGGTTGTCCATATTCCAGCCGACGTACTTTCCGTCGCCCAGTTCGCTCTGCATGGTCGATCCCAAGCTAGTACTCAAACAAGCGTCGTTGTCGTTGTTCTCAATTGTCCAACGTGCGTATTCATACTGCGAAACAGACATGTCGGGAAGCTCACCGCCGACGGCATACTGCCACGGCTTTGAGAATGACATGCCTACTTTGAGGCCAAGACGTACCGTCGAACCTACTTCGACGAATCCAGATGGCGTCTTTTCGACGGGAATGAGCTTGTTTTGGTCGCTTTTGCTAACTTCGTCTTCGTCTCTTCCACCTTCACCGGACCCGACGTGCGGTGATACAGTAGCGCCATCTGGGAAGTGAACGTTGTAGCGACCCCAGTCCGATTTGACACGCGCTTCCATGTATCCACTGAATGGGACTGCGCCAGCCTTGCCGTTGCCACTGCGCAGCGTTATGCCAGTTTCTTTGTATGCGGTGAAAAACGCCCAGCCCTTGTAGATGTTGTGACCAGCCATACCCTTCTGGCCAAACGTTTTGGTCATGGTCGCGCCCTTGAGGCTCTTGGCGGTATCCATGATACCCGCGCCGCCCATCTTGAAAGTTACATCTGTTTTGCCTACAGGGCGGACGAAACCAGCTGCTTGATGAATTTTGACTTCTTGGTTTGGCTCCCATGTCGCAATCATAGAGAATCCATAGTGCAGCACTACATCTGTACTGCCCTGGATTGCTACACTAACAGACTCTCCAAGCTTGCCGCCATCTGATGGAACCTCCTGATAACTACAGGTTTGACCATTGTGATAAACGAGGTTATCGAGCTTTTGCGAGATCTTCAAGCCTTTGTTGTCATAAAAGGAAAGGCCGTTGAACTTGGCATACCACTGGTCTGTTTTGCCATTGTCATAGAACCTGTCGACGAGCGACTTGAGATCGCGCTTTTTCTTGTTGCCAGGCGTATCGACAACAGCGTACCAGTAGCCCGGGACGTTGGAGTAATCCATGCGGATGCTGACTCTTCCCGTGTCTCGTCGGACAAGGCCAATGTTGTAGTCGAACCTGAAGTCGTAAACTGCAGATGTAGGGTTGCGCTTCCTGATGTCATCTGGAATTGTTTGATCTGTGGATAGTTCAAGCGACACTGCTCGAGACCACGAGGGACCACCGCATTCGTCCGGCATCTGGACAATGGTTCCTTCCACCCCCTTTTCCCGTACTTTGAAGCAGTCTGTGACGTTCGCTTGCATACAGATGATGCGGGCCGTTTGCAACTCATGATCAGGCCTCTCGAGCACATGGTTGGGGCAATCGAGGAACTCAAGGCCGGGTACGTCCCTCTTCGTCATCGAGGACACGGCCGAACTGTCACCAGCAATGAGAAAGAAGGCAACGCCGCTCTTGTCAGGGTCCGATTCGCCAAGCCCCGACAAGCCTCCAAAGCTCACTAGATCGTAGGTGGGAATTGCATCGGGAGGTGGCAGCTGAGCTTCCGGGAAGAGATTCTCGAGATTGAATGGTGCAAATGGCCTGGCATATCCACCAGGCGGCTCGCAACAAAATGCCTGTTGACGTCCATTGTGGCAAGAGCTGGATCGTGGATCTGGTCCGCGAGGATCGAGGTCGAGAGTGATTTTTCCAAGAACGCAGGTGCTGGAACAAACCTTGCCAGATTCCCAATTGCAGTTGCCAAAAGAATTCTTCTTGGGACAACATAATCTTCGGAATCCAGCTCCTTCACCGCTGAAAGGATCGCCGGAGCCTTTCCAGCCACACCTGGCATTCTCCTTTGGGCCGCCTGTGTCGGTGGTAAGTTGGTGTGGCTTGTCCGATGGGCAGGGCTTGTCGCATTCGGTCCAGGTACAAATGTCCAAGTAACGTTTCATGTTTCCAGCTTTGCAGCAGAAGCTCTTCCATCCACGCGTACACTGATCACCGTAATGGCCGCCGAGCAAATCTCCCACCCAACCAAAGCTGTCGTTGATGACGTTGATCTCGCCAACGTCGCATTTGGCAGAGCAATCAGACTTTGCCGCTGACGATCGTTCGTCGTGCCATTGCAATCATTTTCCTGTGGGCCTGAGAAGGAAGGACAGCAAATGTTTCGTGCTTGTTTGGAATTCTTCGTGTTACACCGATTCTTTCCATTGCTATCCGTGTTCGCGCGGCCAACCATGGTGTAGCCGGACTTGCAAGTCGCGTTCTTCTGGTCAGTACCACAATCAGAGACGTAGCACTGTGTGCCATCTGCCGTTCCGTGCGCGATTGAGGCCCCGTCGTCCGTCATGAACTGGAGAAGATCTGTGTCATCTTCAAGCTCTTTTCCAGTCAGGGCTCGAATCAGGTCGCCCTTTTCATCGTCGATGTCAATGGCCCATGTCATGAGTCCCTTAAGGCCTCTCTTATTGGCGAAATCGATCTTCATCTCAATGGTTTTTGGGTCGTCGTAGGATATCCAGCTGTTTTGGCCATAGGTCAAGTACTGTATACCTGCGACCTTGTCTAGCTTGGGCTTGGCTTTAGTCGCGGCGATGATGTCTTTGACTTCCTTGTATGAGAGAAAGCCTTCTGTGTCGGTGCACTCGCCTTTCTCACCAGGTCCGCTAAAGGCGCAACCTGGTTCCCAACACGATCCGCTCTCTAGACGGAAACTTCTTCCATAGAAACCGGTTCCAAGGACAATCTTGCTTGGGGAGACGTCGTTCCTCCAGAAGAGGTCGAGTGCAAGATCAATCTCTGTCAGATTGGTATGGCCAAGGATCTTGTTGCCAATGGGATTGTCTCGATCCCAAACGCTTTTCGGGGTTAGTGATTGTTGTGCAGTCAAGGAAGGGCAATGCTTACCCATGGAGGTCGTAGGACATGAGGTTCACCCAATCAGCCACCTCAGCGCTCTTCTTGATGTCGAAATGGCGCAGGTACCAGTAAGAGGTCGGAGCAGTGAATGTTAATATGTAGCGCTTGCCCATTGCTTCTTTCATCTCCTTCATCAGCTGAGTGAGATTTGTGCCATCTTCGGGTATACCGCCCCGATCTTCTGCACCGGGATATTCCCAATCGAGATCGACACCGTCAAACCCGTACTCTGCCATGAAGCCCATTAAGTTGGCGATAAAGACCTTCCTGTTTGCAGCGGTTGAGGCCATGTCAGAGAAGACTTTCTGATACTTTCCTGGATCATTATGTGTCCAACCCTGAACGTGTTAGCAGCCAGAACCTCAAGAAATGTAACTTGACTTACTCCTAATGCGATGAGAACTTTGAGAGAAGGCTTCTTTTCTTTAAGATCGGTGACTCTTCCAAACATCGAGGGCTCGAAATCGCTCATGGGCTCGATCTTGAACGTTCCTGGTGCAATGAAGCCAAAAGAGAAGATCAAATGTGTGAGCGAATGTACCGGTATCTCCTCTGGTGTCATGGTTCCGCATTTCTTCTTCAAGTTCCAGCCTTCGTAATAGCCGATGACGATTTGCTGAGAATTGCTGGTTCCGGCATTTGGCTTGGGTTGCTTGCAGTTGCTTTGGCAACCATCGCCACAGAAATCAGCGGTTGTTCCGCAGAAACCGTGTTGTCTGAGAATTTGTTAGAATCAGCAGCATGACCGTGGAGTAGCAAGAGTTTGGAGATGCAGTTAACCGGCCGGAAAACCACATAGAGCGGCGAAAAAAAGGACACGAAAAATTACTCACGAGCAGCAGACATTTAGTGGGCAGCCCTGTCCGGCAGTCTTCGCATATTGACCGCATTCTGCTTTGGCATCGCAGTTCGACTGGCATCCCTGCGACTTGGTAAGTAATGCAACCTGGCTAATGTCTAGAGATCAACTTACAGTTCCACAGAACTTGGGGCCATATCCACACCACCCAGATTCGCCACTGAACAACATAAGCATATATTCAAGCTGCGAGCAAAGAAAGTCGAGTTACCAGCATGCTCCATTGCCGCAGGGTTTGCCAGGGCCACATGTGTAGTCGCCAGATGCAGCGGTAGCTGAGCCGCCACCTGCCTGCTGCCGCGCGAACAGGGCTCGAGGCTCGCGATATGAGACACCAGGCGGAATGATGGAGTCACTGGACTGAGGAGATGAAGAGTCTCGTGCTGAGCGTTCCGCTAGATTTTGACGACGGAAGTGGTGTGTGTGTTTGAGATGATGGGCCTGTGATGCATTCCCAGGCAAACAAAAGGCTAGAAATACAAAAAGAAGATAGAAAAACTTGCTTGAAAAGAGTGACATGGTTAAACTATTGAAGTCAGTACGGCAAAGAGTGACTACCACGGATGTGGCTGCTTGGGGGCAAGACAAAGACAGCTGAAAAGAATGCAGAATGTCAAGAACAGAACTATATGTCTAGAAGAGTTATACGATCGAACCAACTACTCTCGTTCGCTCTACCGACGCTGCCGCTGCCACGGTGGCGACTACAGGGATTGTGCATCGGTTGCCTAACTATAGCTATGCATATTTTCATGCAGGGGCGAAGCAGAGATGCTCATTTAGAGGGGTAAAATCTGTCGTGAATGGGCCTTACAGGGGTATCCGTGGTGCCTAGGGGCCATTTTCTAGACATCACCCGAATCTGCTAAGATTATCGCAAAGTACTATTGATGGGCAGCTCTTCCAATGTTTTCGGCAAAGGATAGCGTAGCTAGTGGATCAGATACAATACCAACTAGCTGATCCGGTCATGGTGCACACCCTTCTGTCGGTCCTTCCGGAGCTCCATATGAAATCTCACCCACCGTAGGCTGCATAGTAGAGTTATTCAAAGATCTGCATATGTGTACAAGACCACATGGTCAAGATGAAGGATTTGCGATAACTAAGAATCCGGTTTCAATAGACCCTGCAGGACGCAAGGATTCGGGCCGTCGCGGATACGTGTGAAAAGAGACTGCTATGATTAGGTAAATGTGGGTGTTCAGTGGAGCTGCGTTAGTCGTACCATTTGGGGAAGGTACGCTTTCCCAGATTTGTCACTATCCAAGTAAGCCAATTCCATCCAGAATTCGGTGCAGTAAACAAATTTTCTTGGATTTAGCCTTATATTCCGCCTGATGCGAAGCCCATTTAGGAAGGTAACGTCCTTCGTGCGAATCTACCGCCTTGGCAATCACACACAAATGTATACCCGAAATGACTGTCAATCAGAGACATGATCTAGCATGCGGGAGCGATGGGCTGCGAGCCGTTCCCGCCCCCACTATCGAGTTAACTCCTTGGCATATGCAAGCCACTCTCCTTCCACAGGAGATTTTGTAAGGGCTAAGATACCAAAAATGTTCTTCTACACGGTTCTTCCTGGAACACATCCAATATTACATGGTGCCTGGATAGTACCTGTATAGTATCTGCATGGTACCTGCATGCGAACTGTACGTTATTTTAGTACGTCCTTCACCCCCTGGACTAGGATCAAGTAAGGCAGCCCGAAAGCCCATATCGCCATGTCGCAATTTGCTGGTATCAAAGGTTGGCCCTGATCGCACGTCGAGGCAGAGGACGCCGTCTCTTCTGCATCTGTTCCACGCTCTCACAGTGGCATCATGTTTTTGTTTGCGCTCATCACACTCATTTTTACCCCGATACGCCTTGCGGTCGCTCAAAGCTATCAACTTCACCCAGTGGTCGGCTCGGGGTTGTTTAACGCATCATCAATCTGTCAATCGGTCTTCAGTGCGAATGTGACCTGTGTCAACAGTATTGGACAACTCTATGCGAACCCATTCTACGACCCTGGAGATGCAGAGTTAACAGCACTCTGCACATCGGCTTGTGCGTCATCCTTGGATCGTCAACGCACCCGCGTCAAAGGAGCTTGCCGAGGTGCCCAATATTACGATGAATATGAAGACACATACTGGCTTCCGCAATATCTGGACGAATTCATTCTCTATGCCTACAACGTTGCTTGCCTCAAGAGAAGGTGTGTTTACTGACGTAGTGACGAGTCCCAGCTGCTAACAGCTTTCAAAGCACTGGAGAGTTCTGTACATCGTACCTTCGTAATCTCAAGACAGCAGCAGACTGCGACGAATGCATTATCAAGGCTTTCCAGTTGCAGGTAAACTCTCCCTTTGCAGTAGACGATGGTGTACGCCAGAATTATGCCTCCCTTACCTCATCATGCAAAGCCACTCAGTATCCCACCACTGTTGCGACGTCTTTGTTACTCAGCACGTAAGTCAACACACCTAGCATGGAATCTCATGAATAGAAAGGCTGACCTCGACAGACCCACGCCAACTGCAACTTGCAGCGGCACTACCTACGTCATTCAACCTACGGACACATATCGAAGTGTATCTCAAAAGCAGTCCGTTTCGACAGACCATCTGCTGAGTTCGAATGGATTGCCCTATAACATGACATCCTTCCCGAAATCAGGGTCTTTGTGTATCTCGAATCGATGCAAGACGTACGTTCTTGCTCAGAACGACACTTGTACCTCGGTCGCCGCTAAGGCTTCCATCTCCACTGTTCGTCTAAGAGCATGGAATGCAAACATCAATGAACTCTGCAGGTAAGATGGACTTTTGCACTGACTTCATCATGGTCTAAGTTCGTATAGTAACCTGGCACGTTTTACTGGCGACACAATTTGCATTAGCAATCCTTACGGAGACTTTTCAATGCCCGACACTCCCACAGCAACACCGGTTGAGACACCAGCGTAGGTAAGTCTTTACTGACAATATTTGCTTGCAATTGACCAGTCACACAGACCGCTGCCGACGGACCTTGGTAATGGCATTGCTCCAAACGTGACATCACGTTGCGGGAAGTACTACAAGGTCGACGTTGGAGACGATTGTTCTACCGTATCTTTGAAGTTCAACGTTGCCGCAAAAGATCTGTGAGAGAATTATTCCTTCAGTATGAACTTGACCCTACTGACTCCTCGTAGCGTCTTTCTGAACCCTATGCTGAACGGAAACTGCACTAATCTTTGGCTCAATTACACATATTGTGTCCAGCCAGTTGGAGACATCAATACCTACCCAGGTTATGGTGCAGGTCCTACTGTTACATTACCGCCATTCACTGCAGGGCCAAAGACGTCTCTTTCATGGGTCGATCCAGCGCCAACACTTGCACCTGGCAACATCATCATTCCGCTGGCAAACGACACTCGTGTGGACTGCCACAAGTAAGCATTCTGATATTTGTGGTGAAGTACTTGACTGATGGCGACAGCTACATGTGGATCAATGGCACCAACTCCGAGTCGCTTGACTGCTGGAGCATTGCAGAAGCCGCTGGCTTACAACGCGAGGTATGATTTGATTGTATTCGTTTCGCGTTGTATTATGATTTGCTGAGAAAACCCAAGCAATTTGCGTTGTGGAATCCATCAATTGACAAGAACGCTGCCGGAGTGGAAGACCGGAGTTACAACTACGATTGTGCACTGCAGACTAGCATGTCATACTGCATGGGCATCGCCGCACCCACTCCTTATTGGAAAGGTGAGTGGTTCAATCAAACCAATCGCACTATGATCATTCCTAATATGCACAGCTACTCCGACGGCTCGGAAACCTCCGTCACCACGCGCATCCGGCGAGATCGCTAATTGTCTTTTCTGGATGCATGTCAATACGCAACTGAATTGTGGGGTTATGGTGGAAAACTTCGATCTTACAATGAGTGAGTTCTACACAATGAACCCATCGGTCGGTGCAGATTGTTTGAATCTGTCTTTGGGATCCTACTATTGCATTGGGACGCCCGATATACCAGCTATAGATGGGGATGTATCCATTACGCCAAGTCCAACATCCACCAAACCGCCCACAGCCAGTGGCACACCCTCGCCTATACAAGTATGAAATAGTGCGCTACGTGGATTATGTCTTTTAACTAACTGTTCTTAGGACGGCATGGTATCCGGCTGCACGAAGTTCTACCTCGTAATAGCAAACGATGGATGCTGGGCCATTGCCAACCAGAACTCCATCTCTCTCAATGACTTCTATGCCTGGAACCCGGCTGTCGGCAAAGATTGCGCAACTCTCCAGCCGAATTACTACGTTTGCATCGGTAGAGCATCCACTACAACGTCACGCGCGACCACCACACGGGTATCTACCACATCGAGTGCTACTACGACGAAGCCTGCAGCGCCAGGGCCTACGCAAAGCGGCATTCCGGCGAATTGCAACAAATGGGTGGCACAAAAGGATGGAATTTACTGCTACGATATGGCGCAGGCAGCTGGCATCTCGCTGGATAGACTATATGCACTGAATCCGGCACTCAACGGTGATTGCAGTGGGCTGTGGCTAGGGTATGCTTATTGTATCGGTACGTCCTGATCAGTGGATGTAGATGTGTGGCTTCTACCTAGTGTATGTAGTTCTTGATATATTGAGAATACACTGGAACAGTAATGCCGATTTGTGTCCCTTAATCCGATCCAGATTCTTTGAATTTGAGGATACGAGCGTGCGGATGTGGTCCTGTCTCAATAACTTCAAACACATCTTCCCACTTCTTATCCATCTCCACTTCATCGTTAGTGACTACAATGTCCATCTTTGACGCAGTAGACTTGATGTCCTCGGCCACCTCATCGACAGTTGTATACTTCCTATTCCAAGCATTCACTAACACTTTGCCCAGCCTTGCCTCTTCTAGCTCTTGCCACATGTTGTTCAGGAATCTTTCGTCGAAGACCTCCCTGTTGTCATCATACGGTTTGCACCCACCCTCGACTGGACAACATGGCTCCCAGCACCCTGTTTTAGCAGAGGGTGATTTATCGGTGTAATCATTCGTCAAAAGTCTCCACACAAATGTCGCCCAGTAGTAGATGTCCTCCTGGACGCAGCCGTGCAACGCTTCCTCTTCAAACTCCATGAGCTCTTCGCGCACGCTGCCGCCTTCTCCATAGTCGGTTTCATCGCCAACGATTTCGGCACCAACAAATCCAGTAAGCGCAAGAGAGTAATCTGAGCGCAACCACATCATCTGAGTGGAAAATGTCCTGGGATAAATCCGATGAGAATGCAAAGCGCTGAGCGCTGAAAGACCTTGAAGGGCCCACCGGTAATACAGGCTCAGCATCGTCTTGTCGTTGCGACTGGGCTTCGCGGGTACAGGTACAGCCATTACTGGCAGCTTCAAATCGAACGGCCCGGGCCACAGCCTCTCAACGAGTAGACTGCCATCATCAAGGACGCCATCGTAACTTGGTGGTGTTAGTCGCATGCAGACGATGCACACACAATTTGCACTCACCGAACGATTCTGGCGTGATCCTCTCCTAAGCGTTGATATACATTCCGGATCTTGACCACAGGCCAGCCAGTCAATTCTCGCCCATAGTCATGAATCTGCCCGCGCGGTAGACTCGGCCAGCGGATGATGATGTGTTTTCCGTCCTTATGTGGTACACAATTTGCTTGCTCGAAGAATACCGCGTACCAAGTCTGCGAATCCTCGCGCGTCATGCTTGCCTCAGCGGGAACAGGGAGGCCATGATACGGCTGATGCCCGGTTTCTTGAGTAGGAAGAGCGTCCATTGTCTGGTTTGTATGCGGTTCTTCATCTGTTGGAGTGTTGTTGGTAGAAAATGCTGAGCCCATATTGTAGGCCGGTGAAAGTAGCTGCAGGAAATGAAGGGGATCGGGATCTGGGGGAATAAGTATATGGTTGTCTGATTACCCTTGGCGCTCCCAACCGTTTGGGCGGGTAATGTACGGTGGATCAAATTTGGTGTGTGATTTTGGCTGCATGATTGACATGTTTAGCGCATCGCTAGTGCATCGTAGTTAGTGGGGTAAAATCCCGTACCATCATGAGTGTTAGCTATTAACGTCTGGGGTGGGCGAATGACTGGAATGGGCGAGTGACTGGAATGGGCGAGTGACAGGACGTGCCAAGACCCCATCAACTTTGACTATTACATGACTATTACACGCGATATCTCAACATAATAACATGCAAACTCCTTCAAAAGAATCTCAAATACAGCTAGCATTACAGGCTATCTAAAGTGACGCGACACTCTCATTGCCGCGTGCTGCAGCAATCTACAACGTTTCTGAAAGTACACTCAGGCGAAGACGCACAGGAAAGCCCTCTCGACAAGATTGCTCGCCTAACTTAATGAGGCTCCTTGTGACAGAAGAGGAGACGATTGTTGACTACATTCTGGACCTTGACTGGCGAGGATTTCCGCTGCGCCTTACTGCTGTTAAAGATCTTGCCGATTCTTTACTAGCTGCTCGCAACCGCGAGCCAGTTAGCCAGAGTTGGGCTAAGACCTCTGTAAAGCGCTGGCCAAAGCTCTCGACGAAGTTTAATCGAAAGTATGACTATAAGAGAGTTAACCGCTATATTAGATTGCTGGCTTCAACATCAAAAGTGCTCAAAAACTGGCTCGTGCGCTGCCAAGCCTTACCTTAGAAGTGTTTAAATCTACTTTTAGAAGTGTTTTATTTCTGCCTGTCATGGGCGAGGAGGCCTTCGAACGAGTTTGCATTAGCCTATGGTATAGAAGAAGAAAGATAAGAAGAGTTAAGTTGTCGTATGACACCCCTCTCTTTATACCTTGCTTCTCTACTCTTCGTAACGTGTTCTATCAGTAAGCTGGAAACATCAGTAAGCTGAACGCCCCACCAAACTTGACGCGACGCTCTACATAATTAAGCCACAACGACGTAATAAAATAATAAGGAATTAAGAAATATAATTTATTATCTAGTTTTACACGAAGTACGAGTATGTCCTTTAACGTGGCACTTCGTGCACGTTGGCGGCGCGCGCTAACGTCGCTCACCAGCCTAGTTCTAGCTACCACCTATAAGTAACCTTTCTGCCTCTATAGTAAGCTGCTGAGCCTGCTTTACCTAGAGCACTCTACTAGTAGCGATATATTAACGCTGCTAATTCTATATTTATCGTTAACGCTAATTTTCTATACATAGCCTTTTATTTTTTTCGATAAGTATTATCGCCGATTACATTATAATGTCAGAAGTAAGGCTTTAGTTGAGGCCCATGCATAAGGCCAAGGAAACAAAAGAAAAGAAAAAAGCCACAAAAAGGCGACACCTCAGGAGATAGCAAAAATGAACACCTTTTTCATGACCCTATCATTAAAGACCCATCAAATCTGACAATTAAGAGTCTCACTGACATCGAAAAACCCGATTACGCAATATGTCTAATCATGCTACGCGAGATGCGACAGTCATTCTGACCGATAGTAACAACTGGACAGCGTGGTATCGCCAACTTAAAATCAAATGTGAATCACTAAAGATTTGGGCACTCGCAGATCCAGAGGGCTCGCAAGAACCACAACCAAAACCAACGCTTCCGCTCTCTCCCGTACTATCGAATTACGAATCGATCGCGACTTTACCGTCGATTACAAGCACCGCGTCGAGCTCCCGAACCCGTGGTAACACGCAACCTTCACGACGCGACGAACCCATCGTTGTAGACATACCTACGCGAGTCTCCGATCTGACGA